TACTCTGAGACGGTTGACTGGGGACATCACACTTCAGGTGAGTTGCTCGAGTGGGACCCCGATGGGAAGCGACGAGTTGGGTGTTCGATGTGAGGGTGACATGGAGGAGATGGTGTGAGGAAGAAATGAGAGGTTGTGGGCTGTCGTGTAGCCAGGTTGAAAAGATTGTAGAGAAGAGGGTTGAATGGAGACTTGCTACAGAAGCCCTATGTTCCATTATGAATCCAAGCGAAAAATAATAATAATATAATAATAACTAGCTATTTCGTTAGTCGTTACAGTGACCGTTACAGTCATTGAAGAAATATTTAAAAGTTAATTTAGTATTATTGTGTTTATATCATACCGTCGTCGACTGAACCAAATGGATCGGTCTTTAATTATATATGTGCTGTTGGGCTGATTCCTCGATATCGCCTGTGTTATAAGTATGCTGCTAGCCACGATCAATCATTAAAAGCTAGTTTATTCTTGACAATCAGTTTTTTTAATGGATGAGTGGATTGTATTGGTGGTTATAAGGATAATGGGAAATAAATTAGTGTAGGTCAACAGTTAGATACTAAAATGTTCAAATCTGCTACAAATTATGAAACTAAGATCAAAATGCGAAGCTTAAATGGCAACAGACTATACTGAAAGGGATAAAGAAAACTGTGCAAACAAATGTTTAAATTTGAAAGAGGTTGGTTTGTCTGAATTCTAATAAATATTTTCGTAACACATTTCAAACAATCTGATCACGCATGTATTTGTCATAAGTATGTATTAAATGAAAGATTATATGGAAATGAGGGATGAGAATATGAAAACAGAAGGCTAAATTGAAGGTTCAAATAATGACGAAAGCCAACAAAGCAAGCAATAGTATTACATGAACACTGATTTCAGAACTAAATTCACCAAAGAATGTTAACTGTAATAGAAAATTGCATTTGAGCAGATTAAGGTAGCTTAGACTTTTCAGTAGGATAGGTAAGTTTGAGAGTCCATCCTCATCTTATTTTGTAAATAAATCTCAGAGATGTGGAAAATTTAGTCCTATTGGCTGTCTTAATCATATTTTCCATAATTAAGGACGTGGGATACCTGATTACAATATTGTAAAGGTTAGGTGACTATGGAAATTATTTTGGAATATGTTCTGAAACTCCTGCTTCCCTGGATCTCTAGGTCTGAGCAACACGACTGTGACTGAAATGTCCAGCAAATAATACTGTAACAGTATGCGACATGTCAGAAATGTCTGAATGTCAGATGTCTGAATTCTACGCATACATCTGCAGATATTTTATTGAGCCTTGAATATTTTAACTTTTGAATATTTCACTCGGAAAGTCTTTGAAGATAAATTAACTGACTCAAATTTACTGGATAACGTTTCGGACATAATTTATTGTCCATATTCATATCAGATAACTCCACAACTTCCAGACAGTCTTTATATATTCCTAGTTTTCTCTCCCTCTCTGTGATGACAAGGGTAGTAGAATTTTCCACATAACTGTGACAGGTGAAGCATCATTTCGATTGTCTGTGTTTGGTGTTGATTCGATAAACAAAGATTCGGTTACCAATCTCTCCCTCCATCCAACTAAGTTAGTTTTCAAAACTGTCCCGCTATCCCACCCTACTGTATGATTGTGCGTCATCGCATGCAGAGCTATAGCCGAGTTTTTCTCTAGATTTCTTATCTTATTAGGATCTACTAATCTTGATTTGGCTAAGTTTTTGTGCTCCGTTATTCTAATCGACCCTGGTTGACTACTTTGATCTATGTACTCGACCTGGCAATCATTGCAGGGAATCTGGTAAACCAGATTATTTTGCCGAATTGCATCGATAGGATCTTTTAACCTACAAAGATTGTTTCTAAGCGAGTTTGTTGGTTTGAATGCCATTTTAATCCCAGCCTTATTGAGAATTCTTCGTAGTGCTTCTGATGTGCATTCCTTGTATGGTAACACAGCAGCGGCTTTGATTTTTCTCTCAAACTTGTTACCATTATTACTATTAGTAGAGAATTGTAATTGATAACACCTATAATACTAGTGCTACTAATACTTTTCTTTCGATTTCTTGTGAATTTATTTACAAATTTAGGTGGGTAATTATTGAGACACAAGGTATTCTTGATGTGTCTTGTTTCTTGTCGTTGATTTTCTGGCTAACTAGTAAGATTTTCTGCCTCATCACTTAAGTGTTTAACCAAGCTTACTTTAAGTGGGGATTTGGAGCCTAAGTAGCGACCGGAGTAGAAAGGTTTCCTATAGACACTAGTCTCTAAACTTCCGTCTTGTGTTCGTCCACTCTTGCAATCCAACACTGATAGCTTCAAAAAAGGCTAACAGTTTCGTTGTAGTCATAATGACTGTTTTTCGCTGATCAATATCAAACAGACGTATTCAGAAAGGTGAAGTAAGATTGAGTAACTTACTACTCATTCTGTTACGCCTTACGAATTCCAACTAAATGCAAGATTTTGAATCACAAAACTAACCAAGAACAAACGAAAAGTGATTCACTATGTGAAATACACTTTAATTACCTCTTGATCATTGATATTTTCAGCAAAAATCGTGGAGCTGCACCTTCAAATTTTTAGATATCTCAAATCCGTTTATCTTAGGAAGCAAAATATTTCTCTTCCTTTGACTGTCAAACATTTCTACTGAACTCAATAGCTTACTTTTATTTGGTGTGACACTATAGCTTACACCTTTACTACTACTGAGGAGTGTTGCACCTCATTTGCTCCTGCCACTCATCATTCTGCCGCTTTTCCGTCTTTCTGATTATTGACTAAATAGTACTTTTTTAATATTTGGTTTGATGAAAATTGTCATTTGTATGCCAGCGCACAAAAAATACAATTTTTCATAGGTTTCAAGTTCAAAATATTTGTTTGATATGTTTGGGGCGACAGGTAGGTAACTGAAACTTGACTGGTAAAAAAATAAGGGAACGGTACACACATACGTATCCTTAGGAGTTATGCTTTCAAAGGAAAGCTACATTTATTTATAAGAAGTATATTTCATTATGAATGAAGACATTTTTGGTCAGAAAATGTTTTAAGAAGTTGTACACTCAAAATATCGACATATTAATATTTACCAGTTTTTTTAAAAAAAAAGACATTTTTGGTCAGAAAATGTTTTAAGAAGTTGTACACTCAAAATATCGACATATTAATATTTACCAGTTTTTTAAAAAACTTTTCCTGTCACTATTATACTTGTAATTTCAACCGTGCTTCGAAAATTTGGTTCATTCCTAAACATGTCTACATACTTTTTTAGTTATAAAGCTTACCATGTATATACACTGTCACGTTACCATCGAGATGTTTTTTAACTTGGCTATATCGTTTTCTTATTTAACTTGAGCCTTCTTATTCATTATAAGAATTGGGTCATTCTGATGCGTATAACACTTACACAAAGTAGTGAACGGAACCAAAAATATCCCACTTAGGCATCTGTTGTGAAAAAGACTGCCTTGAAAATGGCTTTCATTATGAAGTGCGATAAATCAGATAACTGTTGAAACCTTTTAAAACCCAAAGAGCAGTTTATTCCCAGGATAGGATGTTTTCATTGAGGAACGACTGAATTCGTGAAATGCGAACATTGTGTCTCAAGGCGTTGGCTAAACCAGACACAGCACTTCAATCTGGATTGACGGATTGATGTTGAATGCTAGCCTGCACTTTCACGAGTGCACCGTTACTTTTCAAGCCTAAACGATATGTTTGTGGATTATTCTGATTTTCTATAGTTTTCTGACTTTATTCGATTCTTGATGAAAGATAACTGTCAAAGAGTTGATGTTCATCGAATACTTTGTAATAAAACAGAGCTTTAAAAATCTCCCTTCTGGTTCTTGTAAGACGTGTATAAAAGTCATTTTGGGCCGTTGAGAGAAAGCAACTTGAAAACACAGTATCTTTCTCACACCATTCTTTATTTCGCATCCATCTTTATGTTAGTTTACTTGAATAGCCTCATTGTATTGTCATTTTTATGTACAAAACTATCTGACAAGTAAATGTGTAGTCAGAAATGCCCTGCTAAAACACATCGCATTTTATAGACAAACTCGATCTATTCACACAGTTCAAAGTGACTGTGTGTTAAGTATGATTAACCCACCATGTTGTTCACTGTATTAGGATTTTGATATCATTTAAGTAAATGGCTAACGCATACTTTACCTAGTGATAAGAACTGTAAGTGATGTAGATTTCTGGTCTTTTCCGGAAGAGCGAAGAGGCAACTGATACCATGCTTCTGCGAAGTTAGCCACCTCCAGTGTCGTAGGTTTGACTTCTAGATTATATCCAGTCAAACTGTATTTCAAACAATAGTCAGTGATTTAAGAATAGTATAAAATTTTCCAGTTGAGTGACGGTCGACATAAACTGTAGCTTTGCTCTGTACTTTATGTATGAGAACTGAAATTATCGTAAAGACACTTTATGGTCTCCCATGAGTAATCAAGGAACTGCTACTACTTTCAAAACGAGCCTGTTCCTACTTCTGTGGTAACTGTTGAAGTGGTTATAACGCATTTTCTATTTCTTCATTGAGACATCTCAGTTGATGTGTTTGGAGACTCTTGCAAGATCTACGTTTTGTTATAGTTGATATAAACTCCATTTTCCTATGTCTGGTTCTAAAAGGTTTTAATAATGTTGAAAGGTATATATCTGAAATTCTTATCAAACATCTCCAAGTAAAATTAGTTTAGCGAAGGATGCCCAGATTTTCATGTCTAATACACTGATGCATATTTAAATTAATAGGGAATCATGACGATACTTTTTGCAAATACTATCTACATCCTGTCTATCTAATATAATGAAGGTAATTTTTAGTTCGAGAAAATAGTGACTGCTTACCTTCAAGATGACTTCGCATTAATTTTAGTATTTCAACTTAACTCTGTTTATTTGTTTTATTTTAGAGGATAATCAATTTTTCCGTTAACTATTTCACATGGCAGTCAACGATGACCACATTGAGTCTGGTAGCAACAAACTTACATCGTTACCTTCAATTAATCGTCCATTATTCAACAAAGAAATATTCAACCATTATGCTGAATATAAATCATATTCAAACTCACTACCTATTTGGCGGAAAACTATACTGATGATCCTATCTTGTATTCATGGACTATTTCCGCTAAAAGTACATAATGAAAATACTAACAGCATACAAAGTAATGCCGGTGAAAATTTAACCAGTGATAAGTTTATCAAACGGGATGAGGATTCGGAAAAATCTAAACATAATGCTTTTCAATATGCTACAAATCATTTGGGCAAATATTTACTTACCGTATTTCCATTCATTCGAACTTTACGTGGTTACAAAGTGAAAAGTTGTCTATTCAATGATATGATAGCTGGATTTACTGTTGGTATAATGCATGTTCCACAAGGTGTGAAATCTTGAATTTTATTGGCCAAAACTGATTTTGATGATATTTGAATCTTTAACATCTGTTTACATTGTACAGTAAAAATTAAATAATTTCACGAATTAATTTCAGATGATCAAAACAAAGAGTAAATGGTATGTAGTATTATGTGTTGCAGACATTAATATTCCCGCTAAAACTTATCACACTTTTAAGTTTTATATTCCTTACATAGAGGAAACTTAATGTACCTCCAACTATTCATGTAAATCTATACACGTCCGTTTAAGTCAAGAAGGAAAAATTCCATTTTAGTCTGTTTATTGGAAATATCACACAGTGAAACAGTAGCATCTACTGGATAACGTTTCGGACATAATTTATTGTCCATATTCATATCAGATAACTCCACAACTTCCAGACAGTCTTTATATATTCCTAGTTTTCTCTCCCTCTCTGTGATGACAAGGGTAGTAGAATTTTCCACATAACTGTGACAGGTGAAGCATCATTTCGATTGTCTGTGTTTGGTGTTGATTCGATAAACAAAGATTCGGTTACCAATCTCTCCCTCCATCCAACTAAGTTAGTTTTCAAAACTGTCCCGCTATCCCACCCTACTGTATGATTGTGCGTCATCGCATGCAGAGCTATAGCCGAGTTTTTCTCTAGATTTCTTATCTTATTAGGATCTACTAATCTTGATTTGGCTAAGTTTTTGTGCTCCGTTATTCTAATCGACCCTGGTTGACTACTTTGATCTATGTACTCGACCTGGCAATCATTGCAGGGAATCTGGTAAACCAGATTATTTTGCCGAATTGCATCGATAGGATCTTTTAGCTTACAAAGTTTGTTTCTAAGCGAGTTTGTTGATTTAAATGCCATTTTAATCCCAGCCTTATTGAGAATTCTTAGTAAGGCTTCTGATGTGCATTCCTTGTATGGTAACACAGCAGAGGCTTTGAATTCTCTCTTAACCCTGTCTCCATTATTACCAGTAGTGGTGGGATAATTATTAATAACATCTGTATTACTACTACTACCACTGCTAATATAAGAAGGAAAAACTTAAGAAAAGAATGAAAGAACTCGGTGAAACGACCAAATGTAATTATGATGGTATGAGTTACTTCAGAGATACCATCCGAATATTGTATAACATTGCAGGAGATACCTATTTCAATCCCATCAGCTTTTTGTTGTTTGATAATTTGAATTCGCACCAAATATTAACCCTAATGATTATGATAAAAGGATCATTCATTTAAAACTATTTTTCGTGCACCATTTCTAGGTTAGGGCAATCATCACCGGACATATGCGCATACTAGACGTAAATGAAGACAAAAGGCTGAAATTGGTATTTGTCACGGACTGACATCAGTTGATGAACCACTCAAGAATTGAGGTTTGGACAGTTGTTTCGTCATAGTTTGGGACTCTTCAGAAGGAAACACCCATGATCTTTAGATTTAACGGTCAGCATGTACTCATTACACCAATGGGTTGAGACCCAGTGGTCCACAACCTCCTACTTTTGTCTTCTCATGAGATAGCGTGACCTCCATCCAATTCTGCGGCTGAGTAACTGTCCTCATGTCCGGATTGTTTTCTCCACTGGTTGTGACTTCGCATAAGAACTTCATGAATCTCATCCCGAAGCAAGTACCTAATAAGCACTGGACGGTAATTACATGGTGGCATGATAACCATAGAACCTGAAGCTTCTGGTTTTGACCCCAGGATATGCCATGCTGGGAAATCTCATACTAAAAGGAAACTGCCGTAAAGTTCTCTCAGATTTTCAAAGGTTCTCCACCTGATACAAGTTGTTAACGAATACCAACTTAAAATCAGTGTATTCCCAGAAACCTTTAAGTGGAACAAAACGTTAAGGTCAACATGACTCATGGTTATCATCCGTTTCTCAGTGAAAAAATGTTACTTCACACAGAAGTAAACACTACATGTAATAAGTGAAGTTATAAAAATGTTCCTTGTCTGTTTTGCAAATTATCAGATCTTGAAAGGAATAGAAATTAAACACCTCATACTAAAAGGATTCGTTGACTGTGGGAAAATTAAATCAAACATTTTTTAGTCAAAATTCACTATTTCACTACTTCAGCTGTCTGTTTAATTAGAAGAATAAATAAAACATACTAGACGTTCACTCTTCCGGCAAGATTTATCAATGTATTTTGAAAGTTTACTTGCTTCTAAATACACTGCCAAGCCCACACAAAGATAAGTGGTCTGAAAAAAGATTCCACACTCTTGGTTATCTTTGATGTGTTTGATTTGACTGAGGATAGCTTGGACCATAACCTGAAATCGAATGCATAACCAATAAAAATTACAGAGTATGTGGTAGTTTTTTCAACTAAGTTTGTTACCCAGAAACTCACTATTGGTGGCTTTTACCAGTGACTGTCCTACCATAATATTATTATTTGTCCCTTGGATTCCTAATAGAACATAGGGCTTCCGTAGCAAGTCTCCATTCAACTCTCTTCTCTGAAATCTTTTCAACCTGGCTACACGACAGCCCACAACCTCTCATTTCTTCCTCACACCATCTCCTCCATGTCACCCTCACATCGAACACCCAACTCGTCGCTTCCCATCGGGGTCCCACTCGAGCAACTCACCTGAAGTGTGATGTCCCCAGTCAACCGTCTCAGAGTATGCCCAATCCATCTCCACTTCCTTCAACTGCATATTTGTTCAGAGATAGGTTCTTGGTTAGTTCGTTGCCTGGCCAGAGTTCCTTGTTGCTTATTCTTATTATTCTGGTCATCTGATCTGATCTTCAGTAAGGAGTGAGTGTAGGTGGCAGTTTCTGGTGAATATCTGTAATTTGTTGGAAATGCCTCACGTAACGCGCCAAGTCTCTCAACCATCACACAGAAGCACTGACTTGACGTTGGTGTTGAAAATTCGGATGTTGTCCACGCTTTATGCTGAGTGCAGTGTAGTAGATCACCACACTGGTTTCAGGTTAATGAAAACCTGTCTTGCTTTTCCGATGCTGGCTGGCTTTGACGTCGTCGTCTGTGCCTGTGCCGCCTGTAGTTGAAACAGTGCTGCCTATATAGGTGAAGGAGGCTACATCCTTTAAGTTTCTCGAGTTGATGATAATTGGATCTTGTTGCTGTTGTTGTTGTTGTTGGTGGTGGTGGTGTTGTTGGTGTTGGTTGTGTATCTTCATCACTTCTGTCTTCTCTACATTCACCTGAGGTGTGTCCGTCTTCGCAGCCTCTTCTGTCAACCTGTTAGTTTTTGCCTGTAGATCTTCAAGTTTGTGTGACATTAGACACGTGTCATCCTTGGTGAAATCTAAATCTTCTTGGATATTTTCCCTTGTCCAGCGTATTCATCTCTCCTCGCTCCTCACAGTTGTCGTTTGCATGATCCAGTCCACTACAATCATGAATATCGTGAGTGATAGAAGACGGCCTTGTCTTACTCCTGTCTTCACTTCAAAAGCATTACTGAGTTTCCCATTGTGAAATACTTGGCATATGGTCCTACCATATAGCTAAATTAAAGTACTGTTATGATCGTCTGAATTTCTAGAAACTGACTACAAATATGATTTCCATCAAAGCCTTCAGTCTCAAATTCTAAGTAACGTAGAAAAAACACTCCCCAGATGTCTGACATCACTGGCCTAAGTTCATGAGGAAATTTATTTACGAACTAATTAGATTCTCTCAGACCTCTTTATATCAAACACCAGTGTGCAAGTTTATTGCTGCGAGACTTAATTTCTTGTTAATACTTCTAACTCTTCTGAACACAGTTATCATAAAGTGTGTGAAATATTCAGTGCACCGTTCATAGTAGGATAACTTAGAAGTTGACTGGATTTTATTGATGCATTAAAGCTTGTGTACAATGCTGAATAATATCAGAAAGTAATGAGATATAGCATACCTTCAAGATCTAGGTTTGAAGGAACTGAGACACTTTGTTGACAGGACGATTCACTAACAAGCATCAAACGTAACAACCACTATATTTCGGGCACTGGTTCTTCAGTTATGCGAAATAATCCAAACCGCACGAAAAAGCCACCTGATTTATTCAAAAATTTTAAACTTGTAACATACTTTGGAGATATGAAATTCAATTAACTTCCAACTGAATTATTTCTTTGCAGTGACCATATTACGTATGACAAATAAAGTATTTAATGTTGTTTAGTCTTCAGTGTAGCACTGTTTCTGTTTATTAATTTCAGGTATGGCCTACTCACTACTTGCCACCCTGCCACCTGTATATGGCTTATACACATCATTTTTTCCATCACTTGTCTACTTCTTCTTTGGAACATCTAAACATGTTTCTGTTGGTGAGTTGCATAGATTCTGATAAATAAGTCTGGTCATTTATGATGAATTTTTGATGTTTTGCTGTATCATTAATAACTACTAGATGATCGATAACCAGTAGAATTTTTCAATATAGTCTCACTTGCAGTAAACGTTTAAACTCATAGGTTTTGGTTCGAGCATGATGAGAACGTTATCACTCACTGAGATGTAGGTACATCCAGCTATGGAGTCCTAGACAGGACGAAACTCATGTCCTGAACTTCACTACTAGCCATCACCTTCTATGTAGGCCACTGTAGAAAACAAAAACTAAACACCGCGTCAGTTATTGTCATTAACATTCAGTCATATACTTCATAAATGATCTTTCAACTATATAAAAATGAGATTTATCGATTATCAAAATTATGGCGACTTTCTCGAAATACTCTCCTGTCGATTACGTAATTAAAATTTCATTTACTAGGTTATTAATCTAAGTACAACAGCTAAAAATTCATTATGTAAAAACAAAAACTGGAGGTAATGACGGTTTATTACCAAACGTGAATTTGGCTACTAAATAGTCTTGAAGATCAACATAAAAGCTGGTCTCAGACACTGTAGTATAATTCAATCTCATGTCAGTTAGTAAGTGGATTAACCACACAACCGAACATTGCTGCTATTTACTCAATGGTATTAATACCAAAGTTTACCGAAAAAAATTTCACAAACTGTAAATGAAATTTCCTTGCGTACCGTTATGAAAGATTTCATCAAGTAAATAATACTGTCCAACTGAGTGATATATTTTGAAGCCATAGACACTGATAAACAATTTGCTGTCGGTAAATCCATAGTATTCACATACGGTTTCTGAATTATTACTTGTTACAGTATCAGAAGACATGTGATTATTACTGATTACATTCCAGGTTTTCTAGCCTTCTTTCTTGCCTTCACTACTTGCTGAAACAATTAAACGATGTTTTGATGAGAATGAAAATATATCCACAACACATCATAAAACTACATACCAACATGAAAGTGGGCTTTGTCACAAGTGTCTTTACTGTTAAAAAATAGCCAACAAGGGACGTAATAAAATAGTTTTTCAGTTTCTGTGCATAGTACACGACTCCGTAAACTGAGTAATACTAAACGGTCTTTTCAAAAATTTGACAGTTCATCTATGGTTAACATGAAACTTGAAGGTAATGTCTCGTCCATGAAGGTTTTCTATAAATGGACCTTTCGATAGATCCATGGATACTTTTCTCTAATGAGATATTGATAAAAATGATTATATTATTTTCTTCGTGCTCAATCACGACGCTTAGGTTTAGATGACATGAATTACAGCTCTTTAGTAGGGATTCTGCTTCCATTTTGCTTTTACATTAGTTAATATATCATCCGTCTAACACTGGTACAGATCTATTTGATTTATGAAGCTCTTCAAGCTACTTGTTTCCACAATTGATAGGAATATATTAGCGAAAAAGTGAACCACAGGGCTTCCTTTTACGATGTCATCAGTTTAGAAGAATGACTCATTTGAATTAGAAATGGATGTTCTTAGTACATAGATTTGGAGATTTATTCAATTTGTTTGTTGTCTTATTAACAAATAAATTCTATGGTTTCATCAACTGGTACATTCATAAACAGAGATACAATATGATACAATATATCCTCAACCTATTCAGTTCCTGCACCAGTGTTGACATCATTAAAATTATTATTATCATCATGATTTCCCTACCTGAAATCCACATGATTCTTTAGAATGCATAATTATTCAAACGGATAGTTTAATCACGAAACGTATCTTCCTTCCTCTGAATATGAACATCCGCTCCTACCTTTTACATTACTACTAAACCTTTAAAAATTATTTATTTATGTATTGTTATACCTAAATCGCTATCTCAGTCTACGTTGTATATGTATGTTCTTTAACACTACTTAATGGTTCATATAATCAAGTGTATAGAGTATCAAGCTGACGAGTGAAATCATTTATTTCACTCACCAATACCGTTTATGAATAAGATATTTCCCCGAAATGCAGTAGAGAATAATAAACACTACAACTGAGTAGTAATCAGCATAATATTGCAGCAGATTATTGTTATCACTTGATACAAAATCCTGATAATGTATATTGCGGAAACAAGTGACCCATCTAGTATTTTCTTCAACAAAAGCTACACAACTCTTACTTTGTCTTGATAACTCCTTCCAAAACGAAAAGAAAGTTTTCCCCTCAAGTTTTACAGCTTTTTCCAAATCACAATATCTTTCCACGTTATTTAAACAAACATTATATCCTTCCAATTCTTTGATAAATTAATATTATATAATTTCCTGACAAGTGTGTTTTTAATACGAGGACAAAATAATCATCAAGACGATTTGTTGGATGAAATTTTTTATGTTTTCGGAATGGAAATCAAGAATTATTTCTTTTACTTTAGAAGTATTAGGGCTAAAGTTATATTCATTATTGCTATGCATCAAAGTATTAACTGAATACTCTATAACCACAAAAAAAACACAACTGTTCTCAATAACAAGATGGTTTTGCTTCTATTTCAACTTTCTGTAATATCATTCATTCATAAATCTTTTTGTTGGTAAAATTGCTTATTCTTTCAGGCACTATGGCTGTAATCAGTTTACTAACCGGAGACTTCCTCGATAGAGTAATTCAACAAACAAATTTTATTAATGGTAAGTATAATGGATTTTATAATTTCAAAACCTTTTAACAAATAAATTATCAGATGAATTTTTCAGTTTGATTGTCAAATTTTTCCATGGAATAATATGTTAAATGAATAAAATCTTATCAAAATCATTTCTTCAGATCACAGTCAGGTGTGTATTAAGACCAGTTAAGAAGTAATTCGTCAAGCAGAATACAGTAGCGCCGTAATTAGTGCACATCTGTATCATCCTAGAATGATGATTTGTTCAATGGTTGTTACATTGAAACTGGTTAGATAAGACTATTGATAACTCACGCTCATTACTGCTAAATGATTTTTTAATTACCGCTATTATCATAATCTTTAGCACATTGTGTTATTTAGGGGTATTATCAGAGCTTTTTAGGCATAATTAGGCCTTAGTTTATCTGTCTATATTGCATAATTTACTCTTGGTAATGGAAACCTACCCTGCCTACCTCATATTAAAAATTTGGATCTTTTTGTGAATACACACAACAGCCTTCTTAAGTTTAAAGTCCAGATTAGACAGTCTATTCATTAGTAACTTTCCAAGAAAGCTATTCTGAAAGGGTGAATAGAATGAAATCGACCTTTACAAATGATTCATTATTATGGAATACAATCAAAGGAACCCTTGAAGAATACATAATGCGAGATGAGAATGATGCAACCCATCTAGACACGAATGAGTGGAGTTACTATGATTTCGTTTGGAAAACTAAACACCTGACTGCAAGGTATGACCTTCTAAAGACTATTAATTGTATTGAGATCTTGGATATGAAAGCTTGATGATATTCGCCATAGATTGGCATAAACAGATGTTTGTTAGTTATCTAATTGATCTTTTTTGATTCACTTATTCGGTACTTAGTGAATCAAACAACTATTCGCTATTAAAATAATCTGGATTCGGTTAGCCAACACTGCCGGTTAGCAAGAATGATCCAACTATTAATTGGTTGTAGGCAATCTGCAGGAAGCCCTAAGCCTCCAACAAACTAACGTCTACTAATGTGCACCGCGATGCTCAGCTTCCTAGCCTGGTTGCCACATTGCAAATATGATCGATAGAATTCGGTCTGCACTCAGGACTAGACAACATGAAACTGGTTGCACTCCCATGACCAGTCAATACATTGTCTAAGTCTGCTTATTCCCGTTGACAGGATGCATCATTTCCTGAAGCATACTATCTTAATAATTCCTAAATTCTTATGTTGGAAGCGAAAAACAGAATGAAGTTCACACGTCCAATTAAAATTTATTTCAGAAAACTGTTAGAAAGCACAACATTAGGTACCGTACTATTTCTGTTTAAAGCCTGAAAATCTCACTTCTTTTCATCCAAATTTAGTCACCTAAATCAAAACCTACATACAAGATGTGTCAAGGAATGAGAGCACTTCCTTTCGTGCAACTATTCTGGTTATATTATGCCAATGAATTAATGTCTTCCAGTTAGAACTGCCATTAAGCAAGTAGCAATTCTTGGATTACTCTTTGAATGTGTGCCTAAATCCTTTTTTAACATTCTAAAAACAGTTAGTACCAAAATAATCAGGACATTTCTATATTGCTTTTTATTAGGAAGAACGAAAAACTTTGACAGTCATTGAGTGAGGAGTTTTGTCCTTTTCCTTCCTTTACATCAAAACGAATCAATCTTTAATGATGCTTGAGATTTTCCAGTGGCATACACCAAGCTAAAATGAAATAATATGCGCATGTTACAGTTACCAAAATCCGGTGGTCTCAAGTGTTTCACCTAATTGTAACAGTATAATTTATTAATTTTATCGGTGCTTGATAGCGATTGGTTGGTTTCAAAGTAGTTCTGATCATGAATGTAAAATACCCTTGCTATTTATAAGCACAAATACCAACTGCTTACTTTAGACACCAGCTGATTTAGTTGAGGTACTCGATGTAGACTCATAGTTGTAATCTCTGTCAGTAGAAAATATGATTTTTGTACTTAAGTGAATGCATACTAAATTACTACAAATTTACAATATAATTTTTAGAGCCTGAAAATGCGAATACAGAGAAATGAGAATCAGCTTAAAAAGTTGCACAGTACGAAATATTGCTCTCACTGTTTTACAACCAGGAAACATTTTGCAATGATGAGAGACAACCAAATTTTTGTCCCATTTCCAAGGTTCTTTTGAAAATGCTGGAGAATACTTACAGCTTTGTGAGACGAGCTTGGTTGTACTGCGTTCTCCTAGCTAAATGGTTTATTCATTGGGCTTTCGTTCTCCTTCTAGACAGTAAAATGTAATTTTTGACTTACAACTTATGTTCATGCCGGAGAAGACAAAGAGTGCAAATACTTTGTTTAAACTGATGGTAATCACAGATTTTGCAGTTGATATTGTAAATGATATTTAGTTTATCTTAATTAGTCGCTACCTCCATTGGTATGCAGAATAGGGCTTGAAGGAATTCCGTTGGTTTTTAAGCGAGACCAGTTTCCTAATTTTCGCGGTAGTTTTTTCTTTATCTCTTAAGCGTTCATTGTGCATGGTAGGATTATCCATTTTGTGATATTTACGTAAGGTTTCACACGTGATCATGAGTTAGATGAGCAGCGTCTTCTGATGAATTCATGTGGGTAGTAGTCCCACTTTAAGACAGTCATTTAAAAGTTTTATTCGTTTTTGCTCGAGGTTATTGTAATTTAAAGTGGTTTATGCATATACGATCAAGTTGCGCAAACTTTACAGTTCTGAAATAATGGAGAATATTTGTAGCTCAAGTGGATGGTCTTTCGTTGCATTGTGTTCTCTGAGCTGGATTGTTTAATCATGAAGCTTTCATCTTCTTTCTGGACGATATCATCAGCACTAACTTCAGTATGAAGTGAGCTGTCAATATCGCTCCGTGAGTGACTTAGTGGCTTGCTTGCCAACACACACTGACCGAATCCTCAACTACAGTAGCAACAACGCACAAAATTACCTGAATGCAGATTCTATTCAAAAGAGCAAGGACGCACTGCAGTACAACAACTTCATGGAGAAACGAAGAAAATCACTTGATGTGTATTGTAAAGAAGAACGGTTACCCACGAAAATTTATTAGAAGATGCCTATTTCGTACAGTATCAACTACAAAGTCATTGACAGAAATCAATAAATGCGTCATCCTACCACACATAAAGAATATATCAGAAATCAAGACAAGATTACTGAGACCACTTGGAATTGGTGTGGCCACTCATAAACCAACAAATTCCCTCCACACCCCTCATTATGCAGACCAAAGGATACGACAACCAAAGAAGACAAACCGAATATCATTTAGAAGATCAACTGCAATAACTGTAGTCAACACTACATTGGACAGAGCGTTCGCCCTCTTCGCCTTCGTGTACATGAACATCAATTGACTATTAAACGTCAAGACATTTCATCACTCATCTCAATGGATGTGGATAGTCATGGACATGAATTCAATTTCGACAATGTAGACATTTTGGACGGAGAGAGGAAACACAAAGAATGTCAGAGAATTCCTAGTAGCTTCAGATTCAGGCGAGTCAGCCAGCAATCAATAGATGTATAGACATAGACCCAATCTATCAACCAAAAGAAAAAGTGCTAAGCGACAGAAAGGTCAGAGGTGAAGCAGAGGAACAGCCAACAGTATGATTACATTGATATAATTATGAGCAATAATTTTTGCTCGAAACGTCATCAAGTAAATAATACTAGATCGCTGTGTGTTAAAAATCAAAAAACAAATGTAATATGGAAGTAAATTCTACCACAATGCCCAAGTTTTACACCTATATTAGCCAACAGGAAAGTCTATACAGTCAATTACACAACAATCCAAGGAAACAACCAATCACAGACCACATCGTCAGAGCAAGCCACTAAGTCACTCACGGAGCGATATTGACAGCTCACTTCATACTGAAGTCAGTGCTGATGATGTCGTCCAGAAAGAAGATAAAAGCTTTACGATTAAACAACCCAGCTCAGAGAACACAACACAACCAAGAATTTCCACTTCACCTCTCCAAGCTACCACAAAACTCTAGTCTAGTTATAGGCCCCAAATTTTCCTTTCCTTTCCGGGCATACCGACATATCCCAGTCTATACATTATCGCCTCTACAATCGGTCCAAGTTTCGTTGTTCTGACTGAAGTTTTTTTCATTTGTTTGTATATCTATCTGTTGAAGTGGATAAATGTTGTTAGCCAAAGATCAGTGAGTTCTGTTAGGCTTGAGAAGTAATTTCTCGGGTGCTTTGCAAGCCGTGTATTGTAACTGACAAGGACAGACATATTATACATATAAAGGCAATGAAAGCTTCACAATTAAACTGGTCTGCTCCAAGAGTGCGATACAGTCAGAGTTTTTCCCTGAGATGGTGTCATCTAAATACTTGTTTCTGTTGGTCATTTTTGAAAAATAACTCTCTCTAGTGTGTCTATAGTAATCCTTGGATAAAATATGCACAAATAAACATGAAGGAATAAAGGCTTACAATGTTATCCTAATCGTAATACAGTTATGTAAAACGTTCTGCTAACACTAAAGATTAAAATCACTGGTGTAATAGGTATGAAATAGAACTGATACGATTTTACAAGTTTGTCATGAAATTCAGCTAATTTCGGTTTTTAAAAGTACTCATTTAATACTTTTGATATGAATATATTACCGTATCACTCAGTTATAATGAGTATGAATTATAGCAGTGACATCATTTCAAGTAAAGTGAGAACTAAAATAGATTAAACTTGAAATTTATGCAGAGTTAGCTTTGAGTTTTATGTAAATTGCTTCCGTTTTGAACGTTTTCGGAGCTCATGATTTTTGAATCCAGTTGAAGAGATAACTGTTTTGAAAGGCTGTTGTTGTCAACATTCTGAACTTACAACTTTTACATTCGTCAATTTTGCGTGATAAATATTTGATTTTCAAAATTTCAGCCTAACCATTAGTAAATTTAAAGAGATACGATATGAAAGTCAGTA